GAGCACCTTTTCATATGTCTCCATAGTTCTGGTCGCAAAAACATACCCTTACAATGGATATAATATTCATATTTTTTACATTCAACCTTCTTAGCTCTGCGCTTCACTTTAAGCTGACCACTTCCTTTTTTCAGCACATCTCTGTTATACTCGAAGTTTCCCCTGTTGCGAAGATTCTCTAGGAGCTTCTTCCTAGTTGCTGAGCCTGCTGGGAGACTAAGGGCATATGCTATATCAGAATTCTCTTTTATGTGAGTTTTGATCCTTGCAAATGAAGCAGAAATTTTGTCCTGTTTGGCGCATTCCACGCAGAGACCCAAGCGAGGTGGCCAGGCACATCCACTCAACACCATGGATCCCTCCTTGTGATGCTGTACAACGGCGTGTTCAACAGCAGGTAGACAGCATCGCTGGGATGGATCTGTGGTGTGTGGCGGTGCCTGGCCACCTCGCTCGGGTCTCGGGATGAAGCTCACCAAACCCCAGCCTCTACTGTGCTTCTACCGCTACTGCTGTAAACATCTTCGAAATCTCGCAGGATCACCCGGTGTTGCTAGTAGACCACTAGTTATTTTTCCTCAGTGCATCGTGTGAGATTTCAACAATGTTTACAGCAGTAGCAACAGCGTAGAAACCATCAGGTAAGTGTTATTTTAATAAACTCCTGGTGTACTTACAAACTTTCCAACGCATCGTTTTATGAGTACAGACCATATTTGTACTACTGTAGAAGTTTGATACCATTCCGGGCTTTTCTCCAGAAATGCACTATAACTAGCATGTACAACATCAGCTGCCTTCATCCTGCAATGTGGGCCACCTGTTTTTTCACAGAATCAATAGCCTCACTCATTGAACCCCACTCTGCTATTATTTTGAACAGCCTAATATCTGATTTCTTAAATTTTCTGTAAAATAAATAAGTTCATGGAGTCAAACCATACCTGTTAAAACTTTTCTGATCCACTGATCCAAAAAATTTAATAATAAACAATTTCAAAATTACTAATAAAAAATAATATGAGAAATTGGAAATTTATAAATATATATCGAACAAATACAAAATAAAAACTACTCCTTTTCCACATCTTTTCCTTACATCCCCTTTTCCCACATCTTTTCCCTAACTCCTCAATTAAGGCTCATCTGCCTCTTTTGCCATTTTCCAAGAAGACACTTCCAGGGAAGTAGCAGCAGGAAGGCGTTATCCTCTTTCTAGGGAGGGTTTCATCTACTGCACGAAAGATACAGAGTCTTTGCCCAGAGTGGTACACACCAGGGACAAACCAGGTCCATTAACCCCCTGAAAACAAAGAAGCTAAATTTCCTTTAAGGTCTTTTCTCAAATTAACCCTTGAGGCACCTTTAAAATGAACATACAAGTTTGAACCAGGGGACCCAAAATGGTCCCTCATAAAAGTGTAATAAAAATGTCATATATAAATTTTTTTTTCACTTTCACCACATCAAATCTTTTCAACAACTTCAGACCTAACCATAGATATAAAGTTTTTATAATTTTTTTAATATTTTTTATGTTTTTATGCCCTTTTTGTCATAAGATGTCATGTGTATTGTCTTTTGCGTGTGTTCACAATTCAAGGCATAAACCACTGATTTGAGGTGCATTTTACATGCATGTGCTCCACATTTGGCACACTTTTGGAGGGCCTTGGCTGTGGCTCCTCCTCCTCCTCTTTCTCCTCCTGATCCCTCATAAATATGAATGAATTGGAAGCAAACAGTGAGGAGTGTGTTGAGGAGTCAGATACTGCCATTCCTTCAAACACTCATTCTCATACTGAAGACTTGCAGAAGGTCATTAAGCATAGATTTGCTGCTGCTTTGCTGAAGTTAGAACATTTGGTCCATGTGCCCACTTCAGCTGTAGATGAATTTTTTGGGGAACTCCATCATTTGATCTGTTCTGCCCCTGTGCCATTATCTTGTGACATCTCTTGCATCAGAGAAACCTCTCTGTTGATGAACTTGTAATTAGAGAAACTGTTAAAGCAATTTGTTCTGGTAATCCAGTGCAAAGGTCCACACAAAAAGGTGGCTCTGTAAGTACAGCCTATCTGCGTAAGCAGTATTACAAGGATAACTTTGGGGTTATAGAGCCAGTTGAATACATTCTTGATGCTAAAAACAAACACAGTTTCCAATATGTCCCAATATTGAAGTCCTTACAGCAGCTGTTAAGTAATCCCCTCTACTTAACAGCTTAACTTAATCATTACAAAAGTTGTTGAGGGTCATCAAAGACAGGAACGCACAAATTCTGGTGTGACACATCAGTACAAATCCTCAAGGGACGGCTCTCTATTTAAGGAAAATTGTTTCTTTGCTGGAGAAAAGCCAAGGATCATCCTAAATTTTTATGTTGATGACTTTGAAACTTGTAACCCACTTGGCACCTCACGAAAGAAGCATAAGCTTTGTGTTTTCTGTGTGTTTTGTTTGTTTATTGGGTATTGGCTAACTTGCCCCCGGGTTCTCATTCTGCTTTGTCATCTATCTACTTGTCAGTATTGTGCAAAACCGATGATGTAAACACCTACGGTTATGATAAAATCTTTGAACCTCTTATACAGGATCTAAAAACTCTTGAGGAGCTTGGTGTTTATTTCCTACTGTTAGGTGAGTCACTTCAAGGTACAGTATTCAGTGTAGTGGCTGACAACCTGGGAGCTCACAGTGTTGCAGGATTTTTATAGTGGAATACTATTGCAGATTTTGCACAGGAAGCAGCAGTGATATTCAACTACATTCTGTTGCATCTGGTGCTTTTAGTCTAAGAACCAAGGAGCTACATCAGACCCATGTCAGACAAGTCAAAGATACAGGTACAAGTTGTTTTGGAGAGAAAAGGGAATGTGTCTCACAAAAAATCTGTCTCATTTTCATGTAATCTTTGGTTATCCTCCTCAGAATCAGAATCATCTTTATTTGTCATTGTCACAGGTACAACGAAATTTAAAAAGGGGGGGGGGACAAGAGGAGAGGGGAGGAGAAAAAAAAGCAGCTCCCAGACTCTGCTCCTGTGGGGGAGTACAGTGTGGGACTGGGAAAAAAAACCTCAGCAACATAAGCACATATGAGCACACTTTACAACATAAGAACTCAAAAACAACTTGCACCGGGGGAGGTGGGAAAGGGGGGTGGAGCCGTTACCAAGCGCAGCAGGCAGCGCCCGCGCTGTTCGGCCCTTTTTATGTTTCTTTTGAAGATAGAAGTCTATTAATTTGGTTTTAGTATCGGCGGATCAAAAGGCTCACCCTGTTGCAGTATTTAAGAATACAGTTAAGGGCAATGTAATGGGAACAGTAGGGAAAAAGATATGTTTATAGTTTCAGTGTTTGAGTTTTGGTGCATGAGGAAACACAAACTACTTCGATTACTCTGCACACTCTTTATGTCAGCGGCCGTTTGGTGGATTTCCTGTGAGAGGAGTTGCTGAGTTCCGCAGATGCGATGTTGGTGTGATTAGTGCCAATTTAATACAGACAGTCCGGTATCTGGCCGAGGACACCTTTTTGCAAATAGGGCAGGCGTCTAGATCCGAACTCCTTTTAAGCATTACAGAGGACAACAGTCCGACCATGAGGCAAGACCTTGGCGACAAGGGCAAGAAAACTGCTCTGTTACAGGCAGAAACCTCGGACAGACCCTTCCCTCTAGTTGGTTGTGGTTTTTTTTTTTCTTGCCGCATTTCCTTTTGGGCCCGGTCGACAGGTTGGTATTAGTCCGTTTTGCTTTAAGGCCTCAGTAAAATGACTGGTGTATTCTTGCCAACATGGGTGTGTTCCGCTCCTGGTTTTAATAGTGATGGGAAACAAGACAGCTTGAAATGGTCAAATAGTGCGCCTGTAATTGGTGTGCTTTTTAGTGCGTTTTTTAAATTCTGATGAGTAGCATCTCCTTGATTGATACCAAGCTATCAGTTGCTTGCAGCGGTTACGTATACGTATGACTGTGTTTATGTTAGGCCTTTATTAAAAACAAATGTATTTATTGCTTCAATCAAAGGTGTGCAAATGTGTCCTACAATTATGCTAATAAATGCAAGTGTAGGCTGTCCATGCACTTCTTTGACTGTTGGATGGTGCCGATGAATATTTATAGTTTGGCTGAACTGTCAGATTAATGCGTACAATGTTACAGCTTTGGGGCCCACTTCAAAGAGTGCTGACAGCTTTTCACCTAATACCAAATTGTGAAGATGATGGAGGT